ACTCTGCACCAAAAGATGGAGGGAAAAAAAAAAAAAATTCTTACACCCCTACCCCCCAAATACCTGTAACCTCAGTTGCTGTGAACAAGAAGTTCTTTCTTACCTCGAGCAGTTACCCTGCCAAAGGGCACAAGAACACCTTCATTCCATAATGCGTATCGTGGTGATAAATGCCATTTCGGAGCCAGGAAGGCGGGAAGGATGTTACCAGCCCCTCCCTCCGTAGCCTTTCCCTGTTGACACTTAAGAATCTTTTGGAAGTCTCTTCACTCTAGAGTTTAGCAGCCTTGTAAGGAAACATCAGTTTCACCTTAAAGTCTATTATTGGATCCCACTCCACCACAAGTAAAGAGAAATAAAGCCCAGGAAAATTAACCTGTATCAACATATGATCTACAAGTAATTAAATAAAGGTGCTATTAGCCTACAATGGCGGGCAGAGAGCAACCCCTGCTGTTCAGCTGCTACTGACTTGGAGAAATGGTCTCATCACAGTGTCGAATCATAAGATGTAATCTTAGAAAATGGTTATTCCTCTTATATTTGTGTCATCAGCTAAGGAGTGACTTAAGGAGAAAAAGTAGATTGATAGTTACCTTTTTTTTTTTTTTGTCAACAAAATATGAGTGAGTTATGTGTCCATCTATACGTTTATTTAGTGAGATGGTTTGTGAGTTACCAGGTGTTACAGCCTTATTAGACTGAATCTTTTTCTTCTTCCTGTGACATTTATTTCACCAGTTTGCCGTATGCTCATCTGGTACAGTGAATATGAAGTATTCCTATAGGATTTGCATTAATTAACTGGAAAAGAGTGGCTATTCAGTTATCATTACATCATTTTAGTTAGTAGGGTGCTTTTAGAGTGAATAACAGAAAGCACTTAAATTGAAAAGCCTTTTTTTCCCCCCTTCAGTGGGGTAAGGTACTGATGAGAGTCAGCTGCCGCATTCAGCACCGCAGGCACCTTTCTGCTCACGGAGGCTTTTGCGAGGATCGCCTTTTAAAGCCAGAAGCACATCTCCACTAAGAGCCTTGGAGACATACGAATTACATCTACAAGTCTTAATTCATAGGTGCGTTGGTATTGTTAGCCAGCATTCCTCATACTTTTGAGAAGCATTTATCGGCAAGAAAATAGCATCTGCTCTTCTTGTACTCTTCGGTTCCGTGAGGATGAAATTCCTGCATGAAAAGCTGATCGTGCTTTATTTCTGCCCTGTAATTGGCTCCCTGAGGCAAACGTACAGAGTCACGGCAACTACAAAGAAAAAGCAGGGTATCCAAATGCAGAGCCCTTCCTCTGCTTACCTCAGAAACTGAGGCTGATAGAGGAGCCAAATTAGGAGGAAAAAAAAAAGAAGGTATATTGTTTTGTACTTCATTTCCACACATGTTAAAACTACTCTGAGCCATTTCAATTACACTGTTTTCAAGTGCACGGGATCCAATAATCAAAGAAATTATGCAAGATGAAGTACCAGTCAAATCGTTCGTGCATTTAACCCCTCCTAAATGCTACATCATGTAAACTATTTTCATTTTGATGCTTCAACAGTTTGGACTTCCTACCCATCTTAGTTCTACCCCTCTACCCCTGCCCCCTGATGTTGGTTTCAATGTAAAACCCCTTTTCCATCCTTCATTTAATTCAGCCGCTCCTCTTGGCCATCTTCATTCAGCCTTTGACATTTCCTTGCTTGTCCGAGCTGGATTTTCTCCTTTGAACTCATCCCATGTAACAACTGGTGTCTCGTTCAGATGACCCCCGCTCTAAACACCAGCATGCGTAACTCCTCCTCTCGACAGAGCAGCCCGCGTGCTCCTCCCTCCAGGAGAGGAGACTCTTGGGACTGATGTGCGCGCCTGAGTTTTGTTGGTCTAACAGGGACACGTCCACATTAAAATACACCAAAGCACCACTTGCGTGTGCTGTAGAGCTTCACTGCCACCAGCCCGCATCGGTAAGACGTGGTAGCACAAACCATCGGCTCCTTCCCTAGGCGCACAGGCAGTACTCACTGGCGTCTCCTGTCCTTACAAGAGAGGCATAGTAAGATTAGCTTGTGTCCGTAGTGGGAGATTCCCTCTGGTTCAGGAAAAAAGATAGGCTGGGCTTAAAATGGCAGCTCTCCGTGGGAAAGGAAGAGGCCTGGCTTCTCTCTCCACCTTCTGCTGGGGGTGACAAACCCTGCTATGGAGCTGGGGGCTCAGAGTGGCTCTGGCTTCTCCGGGGGAGAGACAGAGGCTGCACCTCTGCAGACAAACTCCCATTGCAGCTTCCCACACACAGAGTCTCTCCGCTGTTGGCGTATTTCCCCGCATTGGTCAGGTTTTCAGATACGGGAGTTAAGCTCTGGTCTAGCCCTTTCTCTTCCCCATTCAGGCTTCAAATAAAGTGACAACTGCTTGCTTTGATTTCCTTGGCCACCCTGGTGGTCTTGCTTTTTCAAGCCCAAAATGGCAAATGCAGCTGAGCTACACAATGCACGTAACAGCTGGGGAGCTTTGCTGCTGTACTCCAAGCCTGATCCCATCTGTATCATCCATCTACGAGGTGATTTAAGTCTACGAGGTGATTTAAGCTCTCAGTTTACTTGAGACCACGGCACGGCGAAAGCACGCGTGCAACTCCAGACAGCTGAACTAACTCAGAGTAATTCAAAGTCACAAGTCACTACAAAACCCAAACCGTTTGCCCTTTTTAAACTGAAAACAACATGAATGTTCTCTTCAAATCTTTCCAACCCTACGTCACTCCGGCATTTACAGGAACAAAGTTTTAAATCAAGCTTTGACTTAAAGAAGTGCAACTTCCTCATAGACTCTTACATGCTCTGTCAGACTGGTGATGGAACACCAAGCAGCAGTTCTCTAGCACTAGTAAGTAGTGCTAGTTCAGTAGTAAGGAGCTTCCCCTTCATCACCACTTAAGAGACCCCGAGTTCTTCCTTTTGGTGACAAATTATTGGCCGTTGTGCAAGTACCACAAATAAGAAATCTCCTCATGACCTTTGTTTTTCTTTAGTTTTGTAAGCAGTTGGGATCCAGTTAAACAAGGTCAAATTGCAATCCACTAAACACTTTCTATTCAGAAGTATTTGGAGAGTTCTCTCTACTGCAACACTTTCTACTAGCAAATGTTCCTTAAATACAGTATATTTTTAAACAAGATTAATGCTAAGCTACTCCTTGAAATAGAAACCATCAGTAGAAGCATCTTATGCTAATAAAATTTGCAAACAGGTACTTAAAACTGTACAGAGCAGAAAGCTTGTATTTAAGAAAAACAATTGAAATAATAGATTTTTCAGGCTATTGGAACTTCAGTCTAATTTCAAGAAACAGAATGAAATAATTGAAAAATACCACCAGAAACTGAAGTTACTTATAGTCCTGTGGTTAAACCACTGAATTCAAAACAGAAAACCTCTTTAATCAAGGAAAAAAATACCACCGTGCTTTGTGTGTGTGAAACGGAATGGTTTAAACTTGAGTACCGTTGTCCCAGTTAGATGAATATTCAAAGTGGTATGATTTTTCCCTTCTCTGCAGTGTTCTGCCAACTGTATAATTTTTAGGCATAGAAGATGCTTTTGAACCACTCCAGGTGCACGTTTGATACAGAACACAGTTCTTTGTACAGCATTTTGATTTGAAGACTAAGGGAAATTATCAGGCACAAATCAGTCAAGGGAAAAAAAACAGCAAATCACTTACGGAGCTCTTCCTTTTTCTAAATCAGGGGAATTCAGAATGTATTTCTCACCTTGTTACCAGATGACCTGACCACTTCTAAATAAGGATGAAGGTGGTTAAGAAGAGAGAAACAACTACTTCCTCCATTTTTAAGAACACTGAAGTACTTGGAGAACATTGGCACAGAAACTATATTACACATGTACATTCACCTGTAAATATTTTAATGTCTCTCCAAACATAAAAATGTTGGTAATTTTACAGAATTCCATTAGGTATCAGCCCCAAAATATGGTTACTTGTATTAAAAACCCCCCTCTATTAAGGTATTTGCATTTTGTAAGGTCATTTAGTGACATTTGTTGGCCACCAACCCCTGCTATTTGTGTACAATTACACTTCTTTCACCCAACATATTTTATAACAGTGAGGAAGTGGTACAGAATCACCTGGAAGGGTCAGGAGGTAACATCTAATTCCAATTTCAGTGAAGATAGCCACTGAAAGACACACATTTTACCTGCTTTTTTTTTGCCCCGTTTTTCTATCTTCTGAAACCCCCACAACTATTGAGGAACTGTTGACTGGCAAAGAGAATATAAATGTGAGTGAATAGGAAATCGCATTTTATATTGGAATCACCTGCCTCACACAAATTTACCATGGTGTTTGTTTACCCAGTGTGCCTAAAGTAGGCACACGATTTGCTTATTGCTTGAAGATCTGCAAAAGTTAATAAAATTCAGAAGGGAGTATCCTCATAAGTATGCTATTTGTGATAAATACAGGTAATAGCCATCTTATCTAAGCTTTCCAATTTCAGCCTGTTTAAGCCCAAATACCATTTTCATGACACTACAAGCTTAATGACAAAATAACATATGGCACAATAACTTCTCCAGCAAAGATACGTGGACAAGAAAGTATTACAGAGTAAAATCTGACCAAGTGGAACGTTTGCCCTGACCTAGAAACAAACCTAGTTGCTAAGGTTGGTCACAGAAAAACCCGGGTACATTTTCTGTCCCTACTTTTTAATCTAAAGTGTAGCTCTAGGAGATAGCGTCGGGCATTTCCCACGCTGTGAAGTGGATGGAATTTTGCAATTAATGTCTGTGGGTTAAAAAGCCTGGGCCCTGTAGTTACTTAAAATATCAAGATATCGGTGTGCCAAGAAGCAAAGTAAGTACAATGCCAAAGAAATGCTGAATTGAGCAATGGAGTTAGCGATGGTTATTAGCAAAATCCGCTCCTTCGTCTTGGCAAAGTATCAGCAACTCACAGGACTCGAAGCGTAGGTCTCATTCACAGGAGCAGTCCACGCCCAGCCCTGCCCCATCGCTGCCACTGCAGCCGTCCGATACCGGAGCACAGTCTCCCCCCTCGGTTACCTGATACGCGCAGCAGCCAGCCGTACTCTGGCTCAGGCAGACCTGCGCGTCATTGTCATCAGTATCGTAACTGGCAGGACATGTTTCTTCTGACGCCCCGTCGTGATGGGTACCTCTGTCGCTGATCCCAGCTACCTCATCTCCCAAGTCTATGACATCATCCAGCTGCTGTTCTGGATCAGGCTTGGCTGCTGTTGAGATTTGTGCTTCTAAGTTTCTTGTGTTCGCTGTGACTTCAAATTCATCCTTCTCCTCTGCCATTTGCTTCTCCCTAGTACTTAATTTAGCCTTTGTGGATTTCTTCAGTTGTTTGCTGTGCATGTCTTCTTTGGAGAACCTCCAGTGAAACTACAAATAAGAGATCCAAATGTTAAAGACCATTAGAGACAATCTCACATGGACATTTACTTTCCTGAGTAGAAGTGTTTTTATTACTTAGTTTGAATTCAAAGACTAGTTTGACCAAAAAGACCTAAGATTAAAAAAACCTGCGTGACTAGATCAGACAGCTTAAGATCATTTGTGCCTACACATACATATCTGTTACACAAAGAAAAGAGACTGTGATGCGTTCTGCTTCTGCTGTTTCACATGCCTAGCAGGTTCCTCTCCACACGCTGTGTAGGCCTACAGCATCCTGGCAGACAACCTGCACCGCGTGCAAAGCAAGAATATGCAAAGCTGCACAAGTGCAGACGGAGGAAGCAATCCTATGGCGTTATTCCAATGTTTTTCACCAGGTTAGCAGCAGAACTAACACGGCACCCAAGACGACACCCAAACCGTAAAATATTCGGAACCATTTTTGTGTGAATGTTTTTTGATGAGAAAGCATGAAGCTACCTCTTGCAGCACTCGCCACAAGACTGGCCACAGCTGCCATTTCAGAAGAACTGTTTTAACTACTATTAAAAAAAAAAACGGCAACTAGCAGTACCTTGAAATACTGACTCGACAGGTGTAACATATATAAAGGCTGACAAATATGCCACTAATATATCTGCTTCATTTGTCAAAAAATAAATGGACCTTCCCAAGGAAAGCCAGACCATGTTCCAAGCCACGAGCCATCCTACACAGGTTTGCTAACCACATGTGAATGCGCACAACCATTTCGTCAGCAGTATCCAGGTGGATGGAAACTCAGCGATGGGTTAGGAGGCAATGTTTGGATGGCATAAATAACCTCATCAGGACGTTCAGCAAATTCAGCTGTGGTCCAAAAGCCATTTTTTCCAGTGCAACCAGGTCTGTGCTGAAGTTGGTCAAAAGAAGGACTCATGTTCATAAATTTTTGATCTAGCTATTTATTGCTTAATCAAAAAGCCATTCAAAACCTATTAGGTGTATAAGATTACAAAGATGGAGCAATGTTCTTTCCTTCTGCTAGCCAGAAATTAATGTAAAAAGAAAAAGAAAAAAAAAAAAAGAAACTGGCTTTCACAACATTCTTCTTGGTTTTACTTTGAGGAAGTTATTTTTCACTTAAATATCATTACAATTTAGAGAAAGAGGAAAGAGAACATCTCAGTTCTAGAGCTGAACTGTGTAAAATTCAGAAACACCTGAATATTTTCCTCTTTGATTTGCAGAAGTGCTGGGCACCCACAGACCCCCTTTAACTCAAAGCTCTCCTTGACGGAAGGTAAGATCAGGGCCCTAAATGTGATAAAGATCAAACTGTAGGAGACTCTGTGCGTTACGTGCATATGTCTGTATACTTAGTCAGGTATTTATACTGTATTTCGCAAAAATGCATACAGCCAGTTTCCACTGAAGTAAGCATTGCTTTTGTATAAAGTGAATGAACAGGATTACCTCATCACTGACTGAATATTGTACTAATAAGAGTACTTCTATCATACTGAAGAGAAAAATAAGTTGTACCACTCCTTGCATGTTTCCTTTTCTGCTCCTCTGGCTAAACTGAAGAGCAGTTGGTTGGTGTACATAGATAGGATCAGCTTCCAACACTGCAATGTCCTTTTAATCTTACCAGCCTATCTCCCTCCTCCAAGGGGTTATCTATAAACATTGTAGACATGCCGTATCACAAGTTAAAAAAACCCAGAGAGCCTATGACATTGTATGTGCAGAATATTCAGCAACTTAATCAGATGCTGGGTTTGGCATCTTTGAAGTGACAACAACCACCTACAGACATTGAACTGGTGTCCTGGTTTCGGCTGGGATAGAGTTAATTTTCTTCCTAGTAGCAGGCATAGTGCTGTGTTTTGGATTTAGCATGAGAAGAATGTTGATAACACACTGATGTTTTAGTTGTTGCTCAGTACTGCTTATGCTAGTCAAGGACTTTTCAGTTTCTCATGCTCTGCCAGGTGCACAAGAAACTGGGAGGGGGCACAGCCAGAATAGTTGATCCAAACTGACCAAAGGGCTATTCCATACCATGTGACGTCATGCCTAGTATATAAACTGGGGGGGGTTGGCTGGGGAGCAGCGATCACTGCTCGGGAACTGTCTTACATTTTTTCATATAATTATGATCAATGTACCCCATTTTTCCTTGACCTTTGGTATGAAAATGTGCTGTAGTAATTTTTGCCCTCAAATATGTCTGTATATTTAATACTGCCAACGAGTAAATCCTTTGCTTTGTCAACCAGACATTGTCAAGTAAGTTTTTATATCCCCAAATAAAAATGTAAACAAAGTTTTGAGTCATCTGGATGGTATGCATTTGTTATTATAATACAAGAAATCAGTATCACACTAATTTCTCTATTTGAAGTCATACAATTGCTTACAGGTTCCCACCCTTTCCATTAAAACCACAGACAGTGGTAGGAAAAGAATGACCAAATACAGGCACTCCAACCCTCCTCCCAAGATCCCTTTAATCACCTGAAAACAAAGAGAAAAAACAAGAAAGATGGGTTTTGTAACACGTTCACAGAGTACTCTGGGCTCCGGCTTTGCTAATGAGAGAGGGTAAATCCTAAATCACAGTCGTGCTCCCAGCGGTTATCTCCTACTTCAGTCAGTTCAAACACTCTTCTGGTCTCCACTGTAGCTAAAAGATGACTTTCACAGAACCTGGCTCTGAACCAATAAGGGGTTTATAAATGAAAACTCTCTGTAGTTATCCAAAATGTTGGGTAAAGTGCTCCTAGTGCTCAGCTCTGTCGATCTCCTGCTCTAGCTCAGTTTCTGCAGGGCCCCAAGCGCACCACTCCTTCAGGTGACGTGGCTAGCCAGCACTCATGTAAGTGCACAGAGCTAGACTAAAAACAAGACTCTATTAATTAGCAACCTCTTCATCATGTGGTTTCAGAGATCCTTTCCATACTTCACCTGGCTTTTCTGATCCCTCTGCATAATGAAAGGGCAAGGCAAATTCAAGTACTATAGGAAGGTCAGCACTTTCCCAGTTTCCAGTCCTTGTATTTCCCTCTCAGCTGTACGGCGTGACAGGTTTGGGCAGGGATTCCCACAGGTACACATTTAAAAATGGAAATGGGAATACATATGTGTATCCACGTACGTACATCACTAGCTGCCAGCTACATTCTCAGATAATTCAGCTGGATTCAGGAGGCTTTTTTTGGTTAAATTCTAGCAGAATTCATTAACATTCACAGAGTAAATAGAAACACCAGCCAAGATCAGGCCTACATTATGCTAGGGTCTATCAAAACACATAGCAAGAAAGAGCAAGCCATTTAAATAGAAAAGACAGGCAATGGGCGAGAGAAAATAGTGTTGGTTCCACCTTGCAGGCAGTGAATATGGGCAGAGAATTTTAGGTCATGTATGGAGGTTTATGGCCAAGCTGTTAAAAGATATCTGTGTCTCTTCTGCTGCCTTGAGTTCAACAGAGAATGAAATATAAGAGCTTTCACAACATTTGAGCATTTTTTGTTTCTTTCATTTGAACAGTTCAATTCCTTGTGTCTTGCTACTGTAGCACAGAAACGCTGAATAGGCCATTTTTACTTCTATGGGAAATCAATTACAATATTAAAATACCGCCAACAAAAAACAAAGAAACCAGGAACTCAAGGTTATTTACCTTAGATTCTTTCTTCTTCGCTTTCTGGGGCAAAGAAGGTCTCTGAAGAAATACAATTTGCTTTGTAGATAAATTCCCCTCCCTGAAAAGAAACAAATGCATACTCCTGAGAATGAATTAAATTCACTTCCAGCATCATTCAAAGCAAACATCCATCTCAGTCATTTATTTCTGCAGGCCAAAGAAGAACAAAATGAAGAATGACCTAAACATTGCCTGTCCCCGGCGTCTTTGAGCAGCCTGGTATTTTGGGGGGAAGAAAGAGCAACTGTTCAGCCTGATAGAGCCCGTCAGCCTGTGACACACTTTTGCGGAATGTTTTAGCATTAGTGTGTAAACACAGAATAAACTGTTTGGAACAAAAAGCAAGAAACCCAAGCGCTCCGGTGCCTGTGTGTAGCAGCGTCTCAGCAACACCGGAGCGCTCCCTCTCTCCCTGCTGGGACCCCGATCCGGAATGGGGCTGGGTGCTCCCTACAGGTCTGCAGCACGGCAGGAGGCACAACCAAATGCCACCAGTGGTTAGACTGGGTGGGTGCCCTTCTGCACCGTCAACCTGACCTGTGTTACTGAAGTTATAAATGGGATACAGAAAGCTAGAAGAGAAAGAAAACCATACTTACCTTTAAGAGATAGGGCTTAACAAATCATAATCATGATTTTCCATTCATTCCTATATTTAAACATACATGAAAAACTTAAATACCATTTTTCCCCCAGCACAGATGGCCTTTACTTTTTAGGCTTTTATGTGTAGGAGTAGTCTTCAGCTAGATCTCATAAAGAACTGGCGGTATTTTTACTCTTTTAAGATAAAAAATCATGACTGATTATATTGGTGTATATATAAATATATTCCTGACCAGTGAAAATCCAGAATGTGCCATATTCCTGATTAACAAGTGGGATGACTATTTTTCACCACAGCTATGAAGAGTGGTTTTAAATGCCTTGCATTTATATTTAAAAACTCAGAATTTTAATAATAGCAAAGTAGACCGCAGAATGATTATATATGTGAACAAGGTTACTAGAGTACACCGATCTCACACGGTGCTGCTCAGCTAGACTGTGCATACCAGCAGCATTAGACAAATATCAATTAAGAATAAAATTACTTTTCTTCACATAGGCAGCATCTCGCTCCAAATGTTATCACAGGTTTTGTCTTTGCTCTAAGAGGAGTTACGGTGAGATCCAGAGCAGGAATTTTACAATCAAGGAGTTTACAGAGAGGCAGAGACAATACCCAGAAAATTCATGCAGAGACCACGCTGCCACCTTGCAGTATTTTGCCCGCCAGACACGCGCTTCCTGCCCCACGTGGCTTGTGGTGCTCCAAAAACCCAGAGAACAGCTGCGGCATGGTTTGCAAGGGCATGGAAGGAAATCCATGCTAACTGCACGGAGAACTGCTTGTACAGACTGTGGTGCTTGTACAGCGACTTCCCTGGCTGAAAGACAGTGCCCATCCCCTCCCTACCCGTTTATCTTCACAATCGGAGTCGGAAGCACGCACGTCAGCTGCCAGCCGTACACAGCAAGGGAATTCAGCAGTGGAACGTAATCTGTCTGCACTTCAACTCCCTAGGAAAGAAAAATCAACGGTTAGCATCATCACTTGGAGTGCGACATTCAGTTTGACACAAAAAAAAACCCCAAGAAAAACACGTGTGGGGATTTTCTGGGAGGGAGAAAGGGTTTTTGACTGACGTGGGTCATTTTGTATGTTCAGCTAGGTAGGAAGGAAAACGTTCGAAAACATGAGACACAGGACCGATCACCCGTACATCTCAAACTGTTGAATGAGTTTGTTTAGAATGGTAAACATCTGTGATCTTGGTTTTACACTGCCTGAGTCACTCATCCAGCTTTAGATGATTGCAGATCTGAACAGGACAAATTCATCGTCTTTCATCAATTATCTACTCCTAAGCAAAAAGATATTCAAGTGGTTAAAAAGTGACACCCTTGTTTTGCTTGGATTCTGCTCTTGTCTACACTAGAATAAATCCTGAAGATCTGCACTGAAATTAGTCGGGTTACTCTACCGTGATGAATCAAAAGCAAAAGAGCCAAACAAGTACAGGTCTATTCATTTTATCACCCACAAATACACACTGCTTCCTTGTTACTTTGAATCAGGAAATCTGCGGGCGAGACCAAAAAATGTTGCTTTTCAGTGCAGAACTCTGGCTCCAGCTGCAGACCTACCCAGCAGAGCCTTGCTAATTCTTTTTCTACTAGATGACACACCCTGTAATTCGCACAGAAAGAACCACTGGTGATTTCAACCAAGATTGCTCCAGTGAGGTGTCTACTTGCCAAGACTTTCAGTAATTTAACAAATAGATGCTACAGCATATTTACTAGTTTTTAATTTTAATAAACACAAAGCCAGCAAATGGTAACTACTAGTCTCTACAAATATAGCTATATCCCTTTGGGATAAAAATTATATTTGCCAAAAAGCTCAGGCACTTACACTGGTTTCATGTGTACGCAAGGAGTTTTAACTGCTCATTCTCAACACTGGGTAAGGCACAGCAGTTTTGCAGCTCCAAAAAAATCCATTTATTCCGCACTAATAAAATAGTAATTTGATCAGAACTAATCCAAATCCTGCTGTAGTTATTTCAAGGTATTTTAGTGAAATCCAGTCTCAGCTATTCCTTTCTTCTAACTAATGTAATTTAGGTCACTTGATATTTTCATAACTGAATGACTGCCTGACTATACCTATTAAAAACCTGATCATGACTACAAATGACTACAAATGCAAATAGCTGAAGAAGCTGGTATCACTCCTGCTTAAGAAGGAGAATGTTTAAAAACTCTACTCCAGAAAGTGCATGCAAGAGAACACACTACTACTGTTACTTCTGATTTCGGTAACAGAGGCTTTCACGGACTTACAGAGATACTGCTACTTTACAACATCACCATGTACAGACCAGAACTGCTGACTCCAGGAGAGGAAAAGAGATGCCCTGCAAGAGGGGAGCAACACCACATGGCCTTTGACTCATGTCCTCTGAAGCGATCAGGACTTACCCTGCAGCTGTGATCGTGGTAGATTCAGAGTCTCCACAGACTCCCATTTCCCTCCATAAGATGGATATTTCCACCCTCCTTCCGGTTTTTACAATAGAGCATCCAAGGGTAATGCAAAAATTATGACATATCTAGATGCCTTTAAGAGCTAATGCCTCAAGAAAACACATTAATCACTGAGATTTATGAGATTGGTCAACAACGCCTTCCAAAAATAAAGTTGAAAATATGCAACATGAGCATTAAGAATAAGATCAGAGGATCCACCATCACAAGCCCGCCATGAGGCACCAGGAAAAACACATAAAAGGATCTGACCAAAACATTCCCTCCATCAAACAGTGTTTGTAGAGGAAAAACCAGAAGGAGCTCACTCATTTAGAGGGTGGAAAACTAGCAGGTCAGGAAAGACTGGCACAGCAGACCTTGTTTGTGCCCCAAGCAACATCTTATGTTGTAAAGAGGATTTCTATTTTGAATTCATTGCCTAAGGTTGGCGATTAGCAAGGAGAACCTTCTCCTTGCATCAGGATATGCAACAAACGTCAAAAATCAGAGGGAGATTATGGCAATGAGGAAGGACATCAATACCACGCAGAGCTCATTTGGCTGCTGCAGAAGCCAAATTGTTTCAGAGATGCGCCGTCACTCCTGCCACAGCCCACGGTCCCTGCAGGGTCTGAGTGGCGAGACACGGCTGGCTTTAGACCTGTCTGACTTGTCAGGATTAAGCATCATCTGCAGCAGATGATGTTGTATTTCACAATCCCAATGGGCAGAAGGGAAAAGAGCAGGTAAAGCATGTTCAAAAGTGTAAAGTTATCAGAACTTAAGTTTAAGATTAAAGTCAACTAAGCTTAAAAGAAAAATTAAAGAAAAAATCTGGAAATGTAGAAAACTCTGTTGAAAGGGTGCTGTGCAACTGTTACAAGAAGGTGACCTCTTATTTTTCATACGTGCTGGTACCTGACACCACAATCTGCGTGTTAGGCTGTTAGGAGGAAGGAAGCGTGTACATTATGCAGAGGTGCACACCTCCTCCGAGCTCCACATGCTCTTTAACAAGCTCTCTCTGGCTCTGCACGAAGCTTCGCTGGAGTCAGACACCGCACCTCTTCCCCGGGTCCTGGGGGGAATAAACTACTCCTAATAATTGGCTGCATTTGAAGATGATAGACAAGAGAAAGGAGTCACTCCTGAATAAACAGGTATAATTCATATGGGCTTCAAGCTCCTTACTTGCAAATACAGATAATTGAAGCTTTAAGACCACAAGAAATTACTTCTCCCTCCCCCCTCCTGAATCATCGGTTGTAATCCTATTCCACGACTGGAGTTTTTGTGCCAGCAGGAGTCACGGTTATACAGACCTTTAATTGGTGTCGTATTAAATGCTTTCCAAAGCAAAAAAGCTTCTAAACAAACAATACACTGGGGGACGGGTGCAGAGGAAAAGAGTCATCTTGTATTCATTTTATATTTAATACAATAATTAAAATTATTTTATCTTCTATTATTTGAGACAATGGAAATAAAACTTCAAACATACAGTTCCATAAGATGAAATTGCAATGCTCTTTCTAGCAAGCAAATATTGGATTTGAACACCAGCAGAAGTAGAAAGTACATGCCAGAGCTCTACTGAAAAAGAAGCGTTCAAATAATGTGTTTCAAACTGGGAGACATTTCATTCAGTGAAAGGGTGGAAAATTTTAATTAACTTGCTTCCCACTCTCCTGTGGATGATAAGTAATCTCTGATCACACCTTGAGTGTCAAGAAGCCAGAGCATATTGAGCTAGGTTTTTCCCTTGACTCGCATCACATGAAAAGAATTCATTTTATTTATAGTTGTACTGTTTGTTTTCAGCATTTTCTCCTTTCACAGTTGCTTCTGCTCATTAGAGGAAGAAAAAAGATTAAAAAATTATAACGATAATATCTAGGGCAAGCCACACAAACAACTGCATTAACAATTTTTCTTTTCTTCTCCCCCCCTACTGTGGCAATTTTAACCACAGCAAGATAATAAACAAGACAACTACTAAGCTCCTGTGAGACAGAAAGAACTTCTTTAGAAATCGTCCTTTCCTGGGTTAAGTGAATGTGATTTTAGTTACAAGGCAGCTATGGATTGTCACTATTTAATATTTTTTCCTAATGCGGATTAAAGAGTGGAAGATTGAAAATCCCATTAAATAAATCTTAATAAAACCTTTATCGGCAAATCCTAACAGGCTGCGTACTAAGATCTACCAACAGATGGCAAAGAGGATGGAAAGTAAAAAACAGAAGTTGCTTTGAAAGTATAACCTACTGTTTGTGGGGGAAAAAAGGGCAGTGCATTCAAACCCAGCTCCTTACAAAAAATAGAGGGGAGAGCCCATGAGGGTGGCAATGTGCACCCCCCGCCAGGGCTGGTTACCAGTCCCCACCACTGCCAAAGCCAGAGCTTTCTCCTAGGGCACTGAAGGGAGCAAGAGGAAGTGGCAAAGGCAGGACTTGCACCTTAGGGGAAAAGAGGGAAAATGAAATGAGAGAAATTGAATATATGGGCTGCCTGAGAGTGACCTGGTAAAAGCGGGCTGCAAATGGTTTATGTTTGCAGTAACACAGCCGACAAGGAGACTAAATCTAAGCTCTAAATTTGTGAATTATTTGCCTTTTTCCTTTTCAGACTTTTTCCAAAAAGCAATTTCTGCTAATAATGTAACATTATTGATCCATTAAAAACACTTATTGGAAGCCAAAGAGAAATTTCACAACAAGTGTTTCAGCAGCAGAAGTTGGACTATGCTCCTCTAGTATTGAGCTGCTCCTAAATTTCCATGTGTAATACACCACAGCACCTTGCTAGCAGACACTTGCTACACATCCATTAGCTGCATAGTAGAAGGGTGTGGGATGGCTCCTGCACTCTTAGAAACCACCGGTGACTTTTGGCAGCAGATGGGTCACTGACCAGTGCAGACTAGCTGCCAAATTGGGACCTCAGTGGAAAGTTAATAGAAAAAAAAGTAATAAAATGCAGTCCACAGACAGGCTTTTTGCTCATTATTCTGGGCATATGTAATTTACAGTTATTTATGATTACTTAATATATGTGAATTCATGCACTGTGAAACACTTCTGAGAATATAATAAGGCTGTAACACTATATGGGGTAGCATCCTGTTAAGACAGTTCTTCTGCAATTCAGATGTATCCAGTCACAATTTCAATACACACAAAGGCTGCTGAGTAGCGTTCACATCTGTCTCCACATCTAGGGTAAAATAAAAAGCAACCGAAAAACCTTCCTGTGCCCACAAAGCCCACTTCTCTCAGTGACTTCTGCAGATGCAAATCCTACTTTCTAGCATATGTATAAACTAACAGAAACATTTGAGTGCTCCTGATATTGCCTGCACCTGTAACACAGAAGCACATTTGCATAGCAACACATTTTTGTATTTATAGAAGCACAGGATAGGTGGCAAAAGCTCCACAAGCTGAAGATGTTGACACGGAGGGTTCTCCACAAAGGAAGCATGG